GTACTTCAAGCATGGGAGGCTCACAGTTACTCTTCACAGAATATTAGAGCCCAGTTTTATCAAAATCCATGGACTTCTTGTGAAGGTCTCTTCACCACCATCAACTAACTCATTTAAGAAATACTTTCAAAAGCAAGGCTCATTATAACCATGCTAATAACTCATATTAGCACCTGTCTCATAACGAGATTATCTGTGAATTATTCTTCCTTATGTCTCATTAGAGATAGTAATTATCAGTATGTGAGCAAGGGCATGAGAACAATTGGTTTATAAACAATTTCCTTTCCCCACACACAATTCTCTGCCTCCAATGTGGTTTACATGTTTACTGAAGTCAATTACCCTCACAGAGAGATAATCATTACTTGGTATTTGATAAAATATAGCCTACAGAGTGAAGAGCTGCACTGCCAATCCCAAGGCAAGTGGTTCAAATCCATCAGCTGTTCCACAGATGAAAACTGGGCAATCTCCTGTGATTTTAAAGCCTCTGAAAACTATGAGTCAGATGAGTCAGCGCTGTCTTAATGGAAATTATACACACACTAGTGGTCTAAGAAAGATGCACTGCTAACCCAAAGGTCATGACAAAGATGGGCCATCTGTTCCCATGCCTTGAAAACTTGATGAAGGGCTGGCTATGAATTGGTTACTACCCTCCCCCCCTCCCCGATATCTTAAGGCTCAAAACCTCTAAGAGGCTAAGAAGGTGTATGTCAACCAATATTCCCAGAATGTGTCTCATCCATTTACTTACACCTACAGTATTTTAGTATAAACTTTAATTATGTTTCAATTTAACTAGAGGCTTTCAATTTAACTAGAAAAGAAATAACTATGCTGCTGGTAGCTTATTTTAAAAAAATCTTTTTGTTAATACAGTGTTGCGGCAATGTTATCACTCTAATGCTAAACCCAAATGAATAGATTTATAAGGCAGATGAGGCAGAAACAAAAAGTAAACATATTTGGCTTAAATGAAAACTGGCTTGTAATTGAGGGATAGAAAACAGAACCTCTGGGGAGCTAGGGGGTGGGCAGAGAGAAGAGTGCAATAATGAATGAATGGAAACCCTAAGTCTCTGTAAACTTCCATTAAAATTTAAAAAAAAGAAAACAGAACCTCTGTAAATCAGTCATCTGTAGCAGAAAATGTAACAGTTATAAATCCTTTTTTATTACTATTACTAAACTCTGTGCTTCACTGGGTTGGATGACCAAGAACTAAAACCCTGAATGGCAACCCTACATGTGAAGAGCAGGCTGTGCCTTTTGAAAGCACACTGCCAGGTCTGTCTTTTGAGGTTTTCTGGGTATCTGAGCTACCAATCTTTCATCCAGTACTTTATTGTTTGCACTACCAAAGTAGATAGGGTAACCAAGAGTCACTATTGACTCACTGGAAACTACCACCACCAAAACCCTGAGCAATTCCAAACTGGGAGTAAGTCCTTTCCAAAGCCCACATATGTTACAATTTTTAACTTTGTAAGGAAACAAAAAAATCCAAAGCATCTCTCAGATTTGTAGAAAGAGATTACTAAATACAAGGACCATTTGGAGAACTTTTCAAATACATTACACTATCACTACTCTAACATATGAAACCTGATGGGTTTTGTTGTTAGGTGTGTACTAGACTAGGTTAGAGTCTAGTATGACACACAGCAAACCTAGGATCTGAACCCTGTCCTATCCTGTGCCATCCTTACAACCTTACATGCTCCAGCCCATTGCTGCAGTCACTGAGTCAGTCTATCTGCTTGAGAATATTCTCACAAAGACCCTCATCTAGTCTCTAACCTAGTCTAGTACAGTATCAACAACACATCACAGATTTAATATATGCGATTTTAGTACAATTAAGAGTTCTCAGACTCCCATTTTTGTCAATGTTAGCCATAATTTGTTATGATCCACACAGCCAAATGGCTTTGCATAGTCAATGAAGCACAACTAGACATTCCTCTTGTATTCTTTGCTTTCAGCCAGGATCATGACACGAACAATGACAAACCTACTGCCAAAGCCTCTTTTAAATTCAACTTGAATGTTTACTGTTCTAACCATTTTAGGATGATCTTCAACAATATTTTGTTTGCATAAAATAGTAATGATATTATTTGATAATTTCCACATTCTGTTGGATCACCTTGGGAATGGGAACAAGTACAGATCTTCCAGTTAGTTGGTAAAAGCAAGTGTTTTCCAAGTTTCCTAGTACAGACTGGTTAGTGCATCTCGTGCTGCATCTGTCAGTGGAACCATTGATACCTGGGGTCTTATTTTTTGGCAATGCCTTCAGCGCAGCTTAAACGTATTTATTTATTACCCCTGGCTCTTGATCATAAAGTGTTTCCTGAAATAGTTCAGTGTCAGCCAATTCTACAGTTATTCTGTATTCACGGTAAAAACAAAACAAAGGGAAGAAATAAAAGAGCTGAACAGAAAGATTTCAGAGGGCAGTTAGAGAAAAAGCAAGCAAAGTATTATAACAATGTACAGAGGGCTATAACCAGAGAATACATAGAGAGATTTAAAGAGTATGGTCCATTAACAGATCCTCCCCAATAAAAGAGATGAGGAACTTTAACATTCAGGCAAGTAAATTTAGTACCAGTGGTTTTTGTGTTTATTCATTCCAAACTTTAGGTTTAAAAATTAGTTGGGGTTATTACATTGGCTCATGTAATCTGTCTGTCAATGAGAAAGACTGCTAATCAATGCTTTTGTAAGCACAAATAGCCACAAAAGTGGCTATATTTAAAAAAATGTGGCTATATCTAGTGTTTTTATTACCTGTAATTTTTAACTAGTGTCTTCTAATACCCAAGTTTTTAGAGCTTCACCACAAAGCATAGAATTTTTAAAACTAAATTAGGTATATTTAAAATCCTATAATCAATTTGAAATTGGAAGCTATCTTAAACGGTAGCTTGAACACATCTTGCCCACATCTAAACATGTTACACCCATTATTTGGCCTTAGAAATTTTGAAGATAGCAAGCTTCTATATATATGATTTACTAGATGGTTGTAAATGTCAAGTAGAACTTCTACCTAGAGATTTAAAAAGAAATAAATGTAAACATTACTGTGTTTAAAGATCGCATTAGATAGCTTGGGGAATAATTCTTATGCAATCAATTCTACGGTTAGCCCTTTACAAATGAATTACTTTATTTAGCAATTTAGTGAAGGCCAAAATTGATGATTTTTTAACATGGTATGGGGAGATCATGGTAAAGAATACAAAGTGCCTTTAAAAAAAAATTCAGTTCAATACTGGTTCCTTCAATAGTACTGCAAAACTTTCATGAGACAAGCCTTGTAATAAAGACTAACAGTAACATGGGAAATAATTTTAAAAACAAAGTTTTTTTCAACTTTAACAACATAGAGGGGAAAGTCTGGTTATAATACCTGGTGACACAGATATTATGTTTAAGTAGAAAACACAAGGAATAAAAAAAGCACTATCATTAAAAATATTGCACAACATCAGGTGTTTCCTCCAAATTTGCTTTATGTAATTGGGTGATATAATTTAATTAACAAAAACTTGAGATACATGTAACAATTTAACAGAACCTGATAATTTTCTTTTTAACTTTTCTCAAATTCATCTTTAAATCTTTCCATCATGGGGCTCATAAGAAAATTAATCAACATAAGGATACTACGTAGGAAAAATAAACAAATGCTAAATGGATAAAACTAGACCACCTCTACCAAAAACACTTCAGAAGCGTAGAGATTCATAATATTCTCACATTAACTGCAAGAAAAAAGGAGAAATTCCTTCTTTTTTGAGATCACAACTTTGAAGTCATGTGGTTATACAACCTGAATTTGTGTGCAAAACATGAAATACATTAATTAATCTTAATGTTTCCTGCTTCGTCATGTCACCCAGCAGGGCTTAACAGATAACTTTCCAATAAACAGAAACAGAGATGTAGTTTCTATAACTTCAATAACCTCAGCACTACAGTAATAGAGATGCAGTATCCTTTTGCTATGATTCTGGACAATCTCAGGAAGATGGGCATAGGGAAGGAAATGAAAAATTTTCTTTACAACTTTTTCTCTTTCAAAAGTTTCACCACTGTGCCACTTTAATTTCTACATAAGCATGGTGGCATAATTCAAGAGGAATAAATCAGAAATCTTAATATTTACTTTTAATTATCACCACATTAACAACCAAAATAATTAGACAAAACACACGGCAAAGGGTAATATTAAACCCTACTTTACTACTGTTGATTTCTTGACACATTAACTCTTTTTTTAATAGAAAAGGGATAGTGCATCTCAGTTTGCTTACAAGCTAGGAGATCACTTGGAATTCTGCATTTCCTAACTGCAAACCGAACATAGCACTTTTAAACAGGTTATAAATAAACTGGTTTTCAAGCATAGAGCCAGCCCCAACGATAATACACTATTTAAAAAGACCTAAGGCAATGGATTCCATTTCCAATGGAAAAAAGAACTGTGCAAACAAGCTTAAAACTACTTTTTTTTTGTGCCAGTGTTATAAAATGTAGCTTTTAATAAAACCTTGACCCAAATGCCAGCAACCTCAGAAAAGAATTTTGGTGGGAAGAAGGGAGAAGAAACTTACTTCATTTAGGAAAAATAACCACTATCTTTTTCCTAATAAAATCTTCAACACACACAATTTAAACATATACAGCTGCTGTAACACTTTACACAATTCCTATGTACTGGAGTAATAACAAGATCTAAATACAATTATATTTTTTTAAACATTGGGTCAAGGCTTTACATAAAAATACCATCCTACTTTTCCCCCTAAATTTCTAAAATATCACGTACTTTTCCCCAACATCTGCAGCCATTCAGGAATTTTTAGGAAATGTCTGTGCATGATCTTAATTCTTAATCCCTGGCTCTTTGGGCTCAGTGACAAAGATCAACACCACCAAAAATGATGGTTCACTTGAAGTGTCAGTAGAGAGACCCTGGCTCAATTAGTTTCATAGGACGAAAGCAGTGCTGCATCAACTGGTTCCATGCAGGAGGGGCACGTGAAGAATCTCATCAACCAGTCATCTATACAGTCCAGGTGATAGATGTGCATGCACGGCAGAAATCGAATTGGGTCCCCATAAACAAAGTCCATCATACATATCACACACCTGTTGGGGCAAGAAAGAGAAATTAGAAAGCATGTAGAAGCAGTTAATCCAGAAAACATTAAGTAGAAATAGACCTATTCATAGGAAGCAGGTAACAATATCAAGTTTCTACTTGGAGCTCTTTGTACAAAGATAGTTAATACAGTCTTCTTTAGGGGAGAAGACATTGTAACTCCCAACAGTAGAGATATATTTAAATTGTGGTAGTCAGTTTTACAGCTATCAAAATTTTTAATGAATGAGAGGAGTGTGATACAGAATTAACATGCAAAAATCTATACAAGTATGTTAACACTGTGAGACTGGCTCATTTTCTCAATTAAGCATGTGGAGGTGCAAGTATATTGAGAGTGAGACACAGAATAAGCATTAAGAATTGCTTTTTCAGTAGTTTTAGAATTCAAATGTCATGGAAGATTTGGGAATAATTTTTAAGCCTGATGGATTGAGGATAAATTTTACTTGTAATGACTATATGTATATCTCCTAATGAGGACTTCAATTTTCCTGTTAGGCTGAATGGGACTCACCAAGACAAGATATAACACAATTTACTATACTGATGTTAACTTTTACACATTAACATTTAGAAATTCACAGCACTATCTTGTGCTGGTCTCACATTTCCATGGATTCAGCTCCAATTTATCAGTTACAAAATAAGAGACTGCTCCTAAGGAGCAGCTAGTGGATTTGAACCACCCAAAGCACACACACAGCCCTTGGATTAGGAGTACTATTCGCTTTCAACTACACCGATGCTTCCTTCAATATGTTAGTAGTTAATAGCATATTCTCTTATAGCATATAGGCTTCTGAAACATTTGCAGAATTAGGATGCTGCAATGAGATCAAGTATATCAGAGATGATAAGGATGGTGCAGGTTAGGACTGTTGATCAGAGGGTCACTATGAGTTATACTTCAATTGATTGGCACTTCACATGAACCTTCAGAAAAGTGCCATAAAATTGAAAGTTATGATTAATGAAGAGCTACAGAAGTTTAAAGCAGCACAAATATGAAGGCTGAAATTAGTAGATTTATTTTTTTTTAAAAAAAACCATAGTTATTGAAATAACCATCACAAAATGGTCTCAACTCCTAGACTAGCATATAAAATGCAGTACAAAGAAAAGAAATGGAAATTATCATACAAATTTGGTTGCCAGTTAACATTACTCTGACTGGTGCAACTAATTTTTCTGCAAATGTCTTCAGTGGTATGGAGGTACAATGTTAATGGACTTATCTATGCAGTCCCTATTTTCTTTTGCTCTGTTGACTGCTCTCAGTTTGCAGAGGATTGTAAAATGAGAAGGTGAATGTATCAGCAATATATGTTGCAGGCTTTGGTGGTACTTCTATATGTAGCTAAGAATGCTGCCAAGTAACAGACCTGACCCATGTATTGTCCTCAGAATCTCTGATACACTCAAAACCACTGTTACAATCACTTTATCAATATTTTGTTGAGGAATTTCCTCTTTCTCTGACCCTCCAGAATTTAAGTATGATGTCTTTTTCTAAGGAGTGGGCTTGCTGAAGGTCTTTGACATATTACCAAGAACTGTTTCTCAAAAACTAGTTGTCAAGGTTGCCAGCAATGCTGTTATCTTGTTCTTAACCATAACCAAACATCAAAGTAAAAAAGGAAAAAGTCATTGCCATCAAGTCAAACAGACTCACAGTTGACTCACCAGTAGATTTCCGAGTCTGCAAATGACACTGGAGAAAGAATTTTAACTATATATTTTTTCTGTGGAGTTGATGATGGATTCATACAGTCAAAGAGGCACAGTCTTTGTGTTAACAGTGCAACTCCTATGGTCTATGCCACCAGAACTCCCTAAACCAAACTTAAGTGAACAAGTTTCACAGTCATCCGATTAACAGGAGCTTGGTGGCAGAGATGTTGCATGTTGTGTTGCTAACTGAAATATCATAGCTCACCAGAAGATCAGATGAGGCAGATTCTTTTTGTAAAGGTGTTGAGCCACAGCAACCCAATAGGAAGGTCATTATGAGTCAGAACTACTTGATGGCAGTGGATAAAGTTCTGGTTATCCAACTGGACATGCATCTAAGGAAGCATGACACTGTAACTCCAAAGACACAGGGTTTGAATCCACTAGCTGCTCCACAGGGGAGAGATGAGCAATCTCTTCCAACGGGATTTACTATCTCTGAAAACCCACTGGAGGCTCAGCTATGAGTAAGCTCCGACTCAATGGTATGTAAAAACAGATGAAAATTCTTACAGCGAAACATCTCTTGCACGTAAGTTTAGAAGTGTTCATTAAATTTTATTTTCAAACTTCAGAGAGTATTTTTTTAATTTAAAAAAATATTTTATTGAGCTTTTGATGAGAATATACATAGTAAATTTGGTTCTCACTTAGCCATTTCTGTACCTGTTGTTCAGTGACATTGGGAGTATTTTTTAAAAAAACAAATTGCTGAAACTATTAAAAGATGTTATCAAAACTTACTCTCGGATTTTTTTTTCTGATCCATCTCTTCCAGGGTCATACACGCCTTTAGGCAAATGCTGTATAAGGCCTATTCTTTGAGCTATCCTAATTTGTTCTTCTTCAGTCAACTGTGTTGCTAGCCGAGTCTGGCTAGGTGTTGGATGATAGACTGGAACTGGAACTTGTTCCTAAATATAAAAAAAAAAATTAAAAACGGGCAGAATTATTATTTATTTTTAAATCTGTTCTTTTCTGAGATAACAGAGTTTGGTTTTTTGGTTATTTTTCTGGGAAAGAGACAGGTCTGAGAAGATTTTTGGGTTCTGGGAAAGGAACAGAGAACTATCAAAAGAGATGGCTAACAATGTCCAACCACAATCAAATGGATTGAGAAACTGTGGTACATTCACATGGGAGCAACATCATTCGGGAGTGACGATTTTGAAAGTCACTACATAACTTGCGAGAGACTGGAAAGCAGCATTATGTTGAGTGAACTCAGCCTCATAAGGACAAATACTGCAGTAGACCATTATTGTAAAAATAGAAGTATAACTTAGTAAAACGTGGACAGAGAGAGAGATTGTCTCTGTCAAATAACTATGGCTTACAGACTTTAAACTAAATGCTAACGACTCGTCGTGAGTATAGAATACAAGATAGTACAAAAATACTGGATACTAAAAACAAACTCCTGTGATCCCTGTCAACTCTTAAACTGCCATTTCCAGTCTATAAAACCTTCTAGTCTTTCTAAGTCCCAAAATTATCTAAATCTCGACTGGATGCCACTCACAGCAAGATATGACACAAGTTAATGTCACACTGGAACAAAGATTAAGAGCATATTAAAAAAAAAAAGAGCATATCTACATTGGAATGTAAAATGGTACAACTACTAGGCATCTTGAAATTCCACTACGAGGTATACAGCCCAAAGAAGTAAGAACTGCAGCACAAACTGACATACAATAGTAAAAAACTGGAAACAATCGCAAGTGTCCATCAACAGATGAATAGTTTACAAATAGTGGTCTGTTTACACAATGTAGTATCATGTATCACTCAAGAATAATTAAGAATTCAAGAAATACCATACAACATGTATGTTGAATCTAGAACAAATGCCAAGTGCCACAAGTCAGTCCCAAAATAACAATTATGGCCTATGAGTACTATTGTAAAGGATGGATGTTTTTGCCTGGTGGTGATACAAAACAACAAGAAAATGCGGTCAAAATGCTCTTTACATGGTGAAACTTCTTTTCTTTGGGAATCTTTCAGATGTCAATCAATGTAAAAGGCACCATGCTTAGAAGGCAGTCAGTCACCTAGGAGAAGAAAACACTCAAAAATATGGATTCATTTTTTTAGTAGCTGAAACAACTGATTTAAACAAAGTACACTGGGAAGATGGCAAAACTCTGAGCAAGATTTTGATCTGGTGTAGTTAAGGTCACTGAGTTAAGCATCTACTTAGTGATAAGTCTCTAAATCTGACCTTGCCTTCAGCTGTCTTGCAAATTTAGGAAAAATAAGCCTATCTAATAACTTGCTCATGCTGAGTTGAGTGCCTCCCATTATTGCATATTCACCCTTGTACACCAAGGATGTGTCCTGTCTTCAGACCTTTTCAACCTGTATGCAGAACAGATTATCCGGGAGGCTGGGCTCTATGAGGAGAAGTGTGGCATCAGGATTGGTGGAAGATCTATCAACAATCTGGGTTATGCAGATGACACAACCCTGCTTGCTGAAACTGAGGAGGACCGGAAGTGCTTGCTGCAGAGGGTCAAGGACTGCAGCCTCCAATATGGATTGAGGCTCAATGTCAAGAAGACAAAGATTCTCACCACTGGACCAAATGGCAACATCAGGATGGATGGTGAAGAGATTGAGATTGTTCACAGCTTTAGTTTGCTTGGCTCCACAGTCAACAGTCTTGGCACCAGCAGCCAGGAAATTAAAAGGCGCATTGCCATGGGAAAGTCTGCTGTTAGGGACCTCTCCAAAGTACTGAAGAGCAATGGTGTCTCTCTGCAGACTAAGGCCATGGTCTTTGCTATCACTTGTTATGCATCAGAGAGTTGGACAGTGACTAAGGAGGATAGAAGGAGAATTGATGCCTTTGAGCAGTGGTGCTGAAGAAGAGTATTGAGGGTACCATGGACTGCTAAGAAAACAAACAGATTCATCCTGGAAAGGGTTAAACCGGGTGGCTCCTTGGAGGCAAGGATTACTCTGGACATGTTGTAAGGAGGGACTGGTCCTTGGAGAGGGACATCATGCTTGGGAGGGTGGAGGGACAGCGCAAGACAGGGAGGCCCTCTATGAGGTGGATTGATTCAGTGACTGGGGTAATCGGGATGAGTGTGTCGGAGACAGTGCGACTGGCACAGGACAGAGCAGAGTTTAGGGCTGTTGTACACGGGGTCACTATGAGTTGCAAGTGACTCGGCACATAACAATAACAACAATAACAACAACATCAACATCAACAACAACAACATGCCTAGGGGAATAACATCAATGCTTTTGTCAATTTAGGGGGTGGGAGTTGCTGTTGGTAGTCAAGATTCATTGAGTATCAGAGACAAAATATACGTTAAGACAATCTATTCCAAATCCTCCATTTTGTCATCTTAAGTTTCAGTCTGGCAAAATTCAAAGGAAACATTCCAAGCAATTTAGATGTAGGGAAACTGCAGCTGGAGTGGGGGTGGTGCCAGCAGCAACTTGTAAGGAGAAAGATCAGAAGAGCTGGCTCTTATTTCTTACTGGAGAAAAGGATACAGCTTTTGGTGACAAACTGCATTCTTTAGTTGTGACTTTATTTTTCCTTGACCACAAACCAGACTTGTACTACTTCCAAGTCTCAGCACAATATTTAGGCACTTCCCTACTGCATTGTTTTACTTTCTGAAATTGTATCGTATTACCCAAATTGGGACCAACTATGTATGCAATGCTTTTCAGTTGGACCTGTACTTTCATCTGTCATTTTTGGTTAATATTTTTAAGGTCAGGGCACCAGATTTTATGTGTGTTCTCTACAACATTCACCATACGCCATTTATATTAGGGAGCTCTGGTGGCCTTGTGCTAAGCTGCTGCGCTGCAATCCTGAAGGTACCTGGTTCAAATCTATCAGCTGCTCCAAGGGAGAAAAACAGGCAACCTTATTTTGTGTGATTAAATGCCTCTGAAAATCTGCTGGTTCCAACAGTACACAACACCACCATTATATATTAACTAAAGGAGCTTTGCTGGCCAAAGGTCAGTGGTCCAACTCCACCAGGTCGGTAGTCCCCTCCCGGTAAAGATTGTAACCTCTCAAACCCATTGGTAGGCCTCAATGAATCAGAAATAACTTGACAGTAGTTAGCTCAACAACCAACTGAAATGTATTCTCATCTAAACATCAGAACCTTCTACTCATTTTGCCTTGTATCTCCGTTCTAGGTCTGCCTATTCTGTTTTTATTCTCTTCACTATTCTATCATTTTCTATGAGACATGTAGGGAGCTCTGGTGTGTAGACAGACAAGGAATTTAACCACTGCATTAAAAGGACTCCTTAAAGGGAGCTCTGGTGGCCTAGTGGCAAGACGCTGCACTGCAATCCCAGAGGTACATGGTTCAAATCCACCAGATGCTCTGCTGGAGAAGGAGGGGGCAATCTCCTCCTGTACCAGTCAGATCTGATTTGACGGTACATGTAAAAATACAATAAATTTTTTTTTTTTAAAAAAGGACTCCTTAATACTATATAAACCAAACCTACTGTTATCAAGTCAATTCTGGCTCATGGCAATCCTCCATTGGATTTTCAAGGCTATAAATCTTAACCAAGTAGTAGAGACTGCCCTCTTTTCTCCCATGGAGCTGCTAGTGGATGTGAACTGCTTTGGTAATGAATCTGCTCAACACTTAACATACAAATGCCAAATGAAGCTTAGATCCAAATAGTGACGGGCAAAAGCTTGAAAAGAAAGGAATGGATAAAACTGGTCAATAGAAACTCTCTAGAAATTGGCAGAATAGTATATATAGAAGAGCAAAAGAAAAAGGAGATACAAGAATTGCTAGGAAAAGTGTAATTTACTGAGACAGAGAAATCTAGAAAATTGGATTTTGGAGGCAGGTTCATTTTACACAATTTCTTGAGTGTGAGGTATTTCTAAGACACTGAACTGAAGCTGCGAGGTAGAACATCTCAAACATAGAGCGTTTCAAAGGGGATCTAAATTAGAAATTTGTTTTTCTACCCTCTCAAAGTCATCCAGTCAGTTCTGAGACATGGCAACTCCTTCAGAGTGGTTGATGGATTCAAACAGTTGACCTCTCTGTTAGGAACCCAATATGTAACATATTCCAGTGGTCCTTTGTTAGTATTTAGGCAAAAACTGAAGCTGTAAGTACATGGACATAGCTATTAGGTAAAGAGTATAAGGTAGAACAGGTCAGGACAAAGTCTTGAGAAACTTAGTATTCATAGTCATGACAGAAGATAAGCATGAGAAGAAATTGAAAAAAAGACTTAAGTTTAGGCCAAGTTTCAGGGCAAGACTTAAAAATGTTTGGCTTAAAAACTATGATGCTGGAGTTCTGGTGGCCTAGTGGCAGGAAGCTACACTGCAATTCTGAAAGTGCACTGTTAGAATCCACCAGATGCTTTGATGGAAAAGGAGGGAAAATCTCCTTCCGTACCAGTCGGATCCAGTTCGCCAGTACACAAGGGGGATATATATATATATATATATATATATATATATATATATATATATATATATATATATATATATATATATATATATATATATACACACACACACATATATATATATATATATATGTAAATTGTTTGGGGAAAAAAACCCAGACCCCAAACCTATGATGTTTTCCAGTTACTGAAAGCCAGTAAATGTTTTTCCCTGTAATTTCTCTTTTATGTTTAACTGTCTTATTATTTCATTTCGTCAGATATGGTACTAAGAGTACAAATTCTAATTTAGATTTGAATCTAAATTTTCCCTGTAATATACTAGAAGGTTGTCGGAGGTTACATATGATGATTGCAAGTGCTTTTCTATACCAAATTTTAAACGTCCAGGATAATCATACTTTATAACCGTCAATACATATCTTTTTAATGAGTATTTCTAATAAACTATATGAAATCAAAGCAT